GGGTGTGTGTGTGTGTGTGTGTGTGTGTGTGTGTGTGTGTGTGTGTGTGTGTGTTTATAAATAATTCATGGCGATTGATCGCTGCTCTGGCAGATTTTGGTGATGTTTCCTCACGTGAGCGGCTCTGCCGGGGTTTCCTGAGCTGCTGAGTGAAGGAGGTGACGTCCTTCAGATTCACACACACACACACACACACACACACACACACAAAACAAGAAATAAAAATATTTTAATATTTAATATTTTTATTATTACTCTAAATAAATATATTTATTAATAAATTGTTCATATTTATTTTATTATCTAAAATTATTTATTTAAAATTATGTATTAATATTTAAACATATTTATTTAAATGTAACATTAGTACAGATATTTTAAAATTTAATTATATAGATGCACGATAAATACAAAAAAATCTATAAAATAGTCCATTCAAAATCTATAATATTATATATATAATTTTATTTGATAAAAATTATTAAAAAAAAATATACATATATTTCCACAAAATAAATGGTTTTTGGTTATTTCACTCTTTGTTTAGACTATGATCATTTTAGACATGCAATAATTCGTAATTTTTATGAAGGATTCTTGTATTTTAAGAATTAATTTATATATAAATAATATATATATACATTATTTTTAAAATAAAATTACAATATAATATACAATATATATAACATTGTATAAAAATGTCAATTCATAATTAAACAATTCATAAATCAATAATTTATTTCAAAGAAATAAAAAACCTTATAATATGTTTTATCATCTCATGAGTATTATTTGTGGTTATAGCTTTTAAGAGTATGATGATTTATAATACACATTGAACACAATGCATCCAATTAACTTACAATGGATTATATTTCCCAGAGTTATAATGTATTATAAGTCTCATATCTTGCCATCGTTAACTTGTTACTTTACTTAAACCAGACAAAGACTACTTATAAATAATAACAACAACAACAATAATAATAAAAATAAAAATGATATTTTTTAAATCTTAAATCTTCTTAAATCAGATATCTGATCAGATGAATGTGTAATATGGCACATTTGATTTTATCTATATTTATTGTAATATCAGTAAGACAGTAAGATACTGTACAGATCTTAAAGGGTTAGTGCACCCAAAAATGAAAATTAGGCTGCGTTTTACTCACCCCCGAGGCATCCTAGGTGTATATGACTTTCTTCTTTCAGACAAATCCAGTCGGAGTTATATTAAAACATGTCTTTGATCTTTCAAGCTCTATCATTGCAGTCAGCGGGTGTTGCATTGCTTCAGTCCAAAAGAAGTGAAATAAAAAGCGCCCATCCATAAAAAAAAAGTGTCTCACACAGGTCGGCTTTGCGCATGCGCCGCTCAGAAGTAACACATGCGGAAACGCAGCGGAGAGATCAAAACACATGAAGATATTTTGTAAATGTCCCACCGTAAATATATCAAAACTTCATTTTTGATCAGTAATATGCATGGCTAAGAACTTAATTTGGACAACTTTAAAGATGATTTTCTCAATATTTTGATTTTTTTTTTGCACCCTCAGATTCCAGATTTTCAAATAGTTGCATCTCGGCCAAATATTGTCCTATCCTAACAAACCATACATCAATGGAAAGTTTACTTAAAAATTGACTTACGACTGGTTTTGTGGTCCTGGGTCACATATGTGCATGTGGAAAAAAGCATATATAAACCTAATAAAAATGATAAAAACCCTAAAAATAAAATACAAATTAAATTAATACAATTACTTCTACAAATTACCCTTTAAAACCTTTAAGCCTTAAAAAACAAACACTACTAAAATGACAAAAGCATGTTACAAGATTTAAAAAATTGCATTAAAATTAAAATGCTAATATAAAAAGTCAAAATATTTATAACAACTATAATAGTGTATAAATTGTGTTTTCTCTGTCATTCCTCAGATAAGAACATGGATGATGAGGATTCTGTGGATGGAGGTCGTTCCTCGTCATCGGTGCGGCGGACGGGATCCCTGCGCAGACCGAGCTCCGCATCCAGCACCAAGAGCTCAGGTCAACCACCTGCATCTCAGACGTTTGACTGCTATTATGCTATTTTTATGAAACTGATGGTTTTGCTTGTGTCTTCTGATTGGGCAATCCAGCGTTCCAGTTTTTCTGGTATAAAAGTAATAAAACATTTCAGTGCCGTGCTGCAGTGTAAAGCTATATTAGCTGTAGCTATCTTTACAGCCTCAATTAAAACCCATTTAAAAGATAAATAAATAAATAAAACGTATATCTAAAATATAAAAATATACATATAAATATATAAAATATAAACTTGTATATATAACTTGTAATATTTAAAAAAAAAAATTAAAATATTAAAAAAATGTTTACACACACACACACATATATATATATATATAAAATAAAAATGATTAAATATTAAATATATAGTTAAAACTTATTGGACGTATTGATTGTTCTTATCAGGTAAGGAGAGCTCTGCTGCCGGTGCTGTTGATGAAGAAGACTTCATCCGTGCCTTTGAAGATGTGCCCGCCGTACAGGTAAGCATTAGTAGGCTTTGTAACGCTAATATGTTCAACAAAGTTAGGGGTCAGTAAGATTCTATTTCAAATAAATGCGGTTCTGTTGAACTTTCTATTCGTCTGTGAGTCCTGAAAAATAAAATGCTTCACGCTTTCCATATATTTGGCATATGGCAGCACAACTATTTGGCAGCACAACTGTTTTCAACATTGATAATAATCAGAAATGTTTCTTGAGCAGCAAATCAGCATATTATACTGATTTCTGAAGGATCATGGGGCACTGAAGACTGGAGTCAGCTTTGATCACAGCAATAAATTACATTTTAACAGATATTCATATAGAAAACAGCTGTTTTAAATCACAATTTTTACTTTATTTTTGATCAAATAAATGCAGCATTGGTGAGCAGAAGAGACTTCTTTCAAAAACATTAAAAACCTTACTTTTTATTTAACCAGGAAAGAAAACTCACTGAGATTAAAATATATTTTGCAGGAGTGTCCTGGCCAAGATAGGCAGCCCAAATTAACAAATACATATAACAAACAGTAACATACAATACACAATAACTGACCCCAAACTACATCCAAATGCATCTGTGTGTCAGTAACTCAAGGAATCATCAATACCGCAGCAATAACATCTGTAATGTGGAGTGTCAGCCTGGACTCTGCATTCAGTGGTTTTCCATCAGAGATCTCTGGACAGATGCCAGTGTTCAGTGAGTTTGATGACGCTGTTCTTTCTCACAGATTTACTCGGCTCGAGAGCTCGAGGACTCCATGAACAAGATCCGAGAAACTCTGTCCGATGACAAACACGATTGGGAACAGCGAGTAGCTGCAGTGAGTGATTTCATATTTATAATGGAATAAAATGGCTGCTTGTTACTCATCTCTCTGCAATACTTGATTGTGATTGGTCGATGGCATCATTCTCTGGTCACGTATTTGTGTATAATGACTCTAAACCGTATAATTATTTATTGTTTCAGTGATTTTATACATAGCTGTGCTAGTTTCATGTCTCTCGTTTTCTTTCTTCTCACATAATATAAAAATAATCTACAAATAATTTAAACTCAAATCAATATTTAATGTCCATCATTTATTCAGTTGTTTAGTAAGAAGGGAAATGTGAAGTCAACTGGTCATTATTGCAAAATTATGGAAGCCGTTTCTTCTCAATTCTGAGTTTATATCTAATTTCTGAGTTTAAATCACAATTCTGAGTTTATATCTTGCAATTCTGAGTTTAAATCTAAATTCTGAGTTTATATCTCAGTTCTGAGTTTATATCTCACAATTCTGAGTTTATATCTCGCAATTCTGAGTTTATATCTCAGTTCTGAGTTTATATCCCGTAATTCTGAGTTTATATCTCAACTCTGAGTTTATATCCCGTAATTCTGAGTTTATATCTCGCAATGCTGAGTTTATATCTCAGTTCTGAGTTTATATCCCGTAATTCTGAGTTTATATCTCAATTCTGAGTTTATATCTCGCACTTCTGTGTTTATATCTCGCAATTCTGAGTTTATATCTCAGTTCTGAGTTTATATCCCGTAATTCTGAGTTTATATCTCAATTTTGAGTTTATATCCCGTAATTCTGGGTTTATATCTCGCAATTCTGAGTTTATATCTCGCAATTCTGTGTTTAAATCTCAGTTCTGAGTTTATATCCCATAATTCTATATCTATCTCGCAATTCTGAGTTTATATCTTGTAATTCTGAGTTTATATCTCGAATTCTGAGTTTATATCTTGTAATTCTGAGTTTATATCTCGTGATTCTGAGTTTATATCTCACAATTCTGAGTTTATGGGCCCTATTTTAACGATCTAAGCATATGGTCTGAAGTGCATGGCGCAGGTGCACTTAGGGCGTGTCTGAATCCACTTTTGTTAGCTTAACGACGGGAAAAACGGTCGGCGCTACATTTATGTAGCCTACACAATAATACACAATAATAATATTTTACAATGTAATCCTTAAATTTTTTATATTTGGCATGCTTGTGTGCTGCTGCGCGTCCCTGTGTGTGTAATAAGCAGAGTGTACGCACGTTGTGGACCCACCTATAGGCGCATATTACTAACGCACTCTTTAAATAACAAAAAATACTGCTCCATTGACTTTAGACCAGGTTTTTGTTGGTCAATGGTGCAGTCTATTTCAGTTGCCTCAAAATAGCAACGCGTCAACAAGGCGCTTGAACACACCTCGTTTTCAGACCAGCACGCCCATGAGCGAACGGATGGGTGCAAATGCGTTTGCTATTTAAACAACGTGGTGCTGGACGTGAAAATGATAACTGCGTCGGGCTGAAACTAGCAAAAAACATTTGCGTCGCGCCTGGCGCCGCATTACGCCAGCTGTTTTGAGTTTATATCTCAATTCTGAGTTTATATCTTGTAATTCTAAGATTATATTTTACAATTCAATTTATATCTCGTAATTCTGAGTTTATATCTCAATTCTGAGATTATATTTTACAATTCACTTTATGTCTCGTAATTCTGAGTTTATATCTTGTAATTCTGAGTTTATATCTCACAATTCTGACTTTCTTGTAATTCTGAGTTTATATCCGTAATACTGAGATTATATCTCACAATTCAGTTTATATCTCGTAATTCTGAGTTTATATCTCGTAATTCTGAGATTATATCTTACAATTCAGTTTATATCTCGTAATTCTGAGTTTATATCTCGTAATTCTGAGATTATATCTTACAATTCAGTTTATATCTCGTAATTCTGAGTTTATATCTCGTAATTCTGAGATTATATCTTACAATTCAGTTTATATCTCGTAATTCTGAGTTTATATCTCGTAATTCTGAGATTATATCTTACAATTCAGTTTATATCTCGTAATTCTGAGTTTATATCTCAAAGTTCAAAGTTTATATCTCAATTCTGAGTATATTTATCTCAATTTTAAATGTATATCTCGATTCTGAGTTTATACCTCACAGTTCTGATTTTTGTTTCTCAGAATTGCTAGAAAAAGTCAGAATTGTGAGATATAAACGTAATTCTGAGATTATCTCTCACAATTCAGTTTATATCTCGTAATTCTGAGTTTATATCTCAAAGTTAAAAGTTTATATCTCAATTCTGAGTATATTTATCTCAATTTTAAATGTATATCTCGATTCTGAGTTTATACCTCACAGTTCTGATTTTTGTTTCTCAGAATTGCTAGAAAAAGTCAGAATTGTGAGATATAAACAACTAACCTTTTTTTTAAATCCTATGGTAGAAACAAGCTTCTATACAAAACAGAGCTTTTCAGAATGATGCAAGTCCATTTTGTCATGTTTATTTTGTAAAGTACGATCAAACTGGTCGTTATCACATCAATCCAGTATTATGGGGTCATGTTAGTTGAATGTGACCTTTGACCCACTGATTTGTTCATTTACAGCTGAAGAAGGTTCGTTCTCTGCTGTTGGCCGGCGCAAGCAAATACGATGGTTTTTTGCAGCAGTTACGGCAGCTGGAGGGGCCGCTCAAACTCTCGGCTAAAGATCTGCGCTCGCAGGTGGTGCGCGAGGCCTGTATCACACTCGGGTGAGTGAAATGTTTGTATTTAGAGTAAAAGATACTTCAATAAAAGCTGCTTCATCTCCTGAATTGTTTTCTGCAATGGTAATCTGTCTTATCCACTGATAGGCTTTCAAATATACCTACATCTTTCCGGTTTGATGCAGTTGCTGGTATAAACCCCCTTACCAAAAAGCAGTATACTTCACGTTTATTTTATTAAGTATACTTAAAGGGATCCCTGGGTATTAAGACTTGTATGGCTTAATATAATGTAAATTATGTCTCTTCCTGAAATATGTAGTAGAAGACCCATTAAAGATTTATGTTATTTTAAAAATCACATCGTTTTATACATATTTTGGACTATGGGGGGCGCCATTATTCTGATGACGTATATATTTCTGAGAAGTACATAAAAAGTAGACTGAAAGCATACTTTCCTATTTTTTAGTTTAAAAGAACTATACTAATAGCACACCTTGAATAAACTTCTTTTTCATAAGGGCCATCATCCTGTTCAACCCTAGCTGGTGCTGAGTGGTGCTGACAGACTTAGTTTAATGAAAAGAATCAATTTGTTTAAGTGGTCTGGTTTCAAACATTGGACAGATTCCAGCATCGTAAGATCTGCTGCACTTCATGATGGAGCAGAGAATGTGAAGCACTTAGTGTGCATGAAAACACACACTCTCATTAGACCGTCAGGCTCTGTTCCAAACCATAGGCAGCTACCTTCATAGGCAACATCACAGCTGAAATGGAGCCACAGAAATGACTGATTTGGAACACAAATATAGCTCCTCATGTAAAACGCACAATTGATTTAAATTTAGCATTTTGTTTAACTAATGACATGATGTTCTAATAAGCACAAATATTGGGTAAAATAGTGCATTTTAATTGTATTTAAATTTTTGCATTACATTTATTTTTGTATTTACAATAGTGCATTTTAATTGATAAAAAATGTTCTACTCTTGATTGTAATGTAGAAACATACACTTCCTGTAAAGCTGCTTTGAAATGATACTTATGGTGAAAAGCGCTATACAAATAAACATAAATTGAATTGAATTATTTAAAATGTATTTTTAAATATTATATAAATATAAGTCAATATTTGTTGTCTTTTATTGATATTTTGCATGAGGTTTTAAGTGTTAATTAAATGTTTTATATATTATGTAAATATAAAATATAATTTTAAGTGTCAGTTAAATATATTTTTATTATTATATATTAATATGAATATAAATACTTTAAAATATTTTATTGGTACTTTTCAATATTGCATTGCAATATTTAATTAATTTGTTAATACAAACATATTCCTAAATATTATGTATAAATGTATAAATGTTATATATAAATATAATTCAATATTTGTATTGATAGTTTTCAGTTTTGCATACATTTAATTGTTGATTAAATATAATTTTAAATGTTATATAGATTTTTTTTCAGTATTTCATGAATTTAAGTGTCGATTAAATATATTAAAATATAAATATTACTTAAAAATATTATAGTTATATAATAAGTTATACACACACACACACATGTATAAATATATGACGTTTATTTATAGTCTATAATTCTCTGCAAAGGATAAATGCAATGCTTAGACTGAAATTAGGTATCTAAGAAGGCATTATGGTTATGACAGCCTCAAAATGCTCCCTTCATAGGCAGCTCACTAGGTTTTGAAACAAAGTTTAAGTGTTCTGTGTTAGTCTGATCTCTGATGTGTGTCTTCCAGGCATCTGTCATCTGTGTTGGGTAATAAATTTGATCACGGAGCCGAGAACATCATGCCAACGTTACTGAATAAATATTACTTATAACTATTATAGTTATATAATAAGTTATACACACACACACACATGTATAAATATATGACGTTTATTTATAGTCTATAATTCTCTGCAAAGGATAAATGCAATGCTTAGACTGAAATTAGGTATCTAAGAAGGCATTATGGTTATGACAGCCTCAAAATGCTCCCTTCATAGGCAGCTCACTAGGTTTTGAAACAAAGTTTAAGTGTTCTGTGTTAGTCTGATCTCTGATGTGTGTCTTCCAGGCATCTGTCATCTGTGTTGGGTAATAAATTTGATCACGGAGCCGAGAACATCATGCCAACGTTACTGAACCTCGTCCCCAACAGCGCTAAAGTTATGGCCACGTCTGGAATGGCGGCGATTCGTCTCATTATACGGGTTCGTGTAAACACACACACACACACACACACACACACACACACACACAC